AATACTATGATCTTAATCTGTAATAGTATAGGTAATTTAAAATTTTAATTATTCTCAGTATTAAAATCGCCATTTTTCTAGACTGCTTATAGAGCCAAGCGTTTTCAAAAATAGTGCCATGGAATTCTTTCTTGTGGAGCACAATGGTTAGAAAAATGTATTTACTTGTTTCATGGCTGCTAGTGTGAACAAAGATTAATCTTTTAATGAAAATTTATCAAGAAAAATAAATAATAGGTACACTCATATGCGTTATATTATTACGTCTTTTTGCGACATGAATAGTAGTCTATATCATGCAATGACAATAATATAAGATATGTTGCTTTCAATTGCTAGTTACCACTCATATGTATGATCAACCTATCAAGCATATAGATCAATCAGAATATTTTTATGTTTTATATGAAATGAGCGAGTGTGATAGCAATCATCACTGAACTTTTTATGAGTATCTTTTTAGTTAAATTTATGCACTATTAAATAATCGAGATTATTGATATTAAAAGGTCTATAAGCAATTACATGACATAAATATATTTAATTTGCATTTGCAACTGTAACAAACAGAAAAAGAGACATCTATATCTAACAAATATCATATCGAACTACAATCCAAACAAAGAAAAACAACGCTAATATATACAAGTAACATTCATCGGTTCGACTCACTTGATCCTCGACTGTATCAGATAGAAGTATATTCCACATGTGTCAGTATCGAAAGAATTGATCTACCAGCTTAATCACAATAACTGACACAGCTTTCAATTTCTTAAATCGTAAAAGTCGAAGAAACTGCTCAGCCTTTTTTGCAAAAATAATTTAAGATAAACCTTACTTTTCCGTAAGAGATTGTAAACCTAGCAATTCTTTGTCAAAATGCACTTTAACTGCTAAATACCTGTTTCACCTTTCATTCTCACACAGACAGACACAAAAGTTTAGTTTATTTCATATAACCCTTTCTATAGCTGAGGAAACACCATTATTTTCTCAAAAAAACTTTTCCCTGACCCTAAAAATTCAACTCAAAATTTTGAGAAGCTGACTTCAGATTCGGATTCATCGATCCCGATTTACTTTCATCAACCTTTACCTCCGGCCTGCAAAAATCTGACCGATTGAAAGCCCAATATACAAACCTCTGATTGGCTGAAATCTTAGGATGAAAAAACTTGACTGGCATAAGTCCTAATATGAAAAACCCGATTCACTGAAATTCCGATGTATTCATATTTGATCATATTTTTTTGACCCTTGACCCTTGACTTTTGACCCTGACACAAACACACACACACGCAAACTCATTTTATTTTATATGACACTCCCTACAGTCGAGGAAATCAACAAAGCAAAAGTTCCTATGGGAATTGTTGACATCAATGAGGTCAGTAGAACATTATTATATTCCCATATAAAATGTCTTGATATTCAATTTAGAAATATTAATTTCATCTCTGTCACTAGAGCAGGTGGCCTTATATGTAAGTCCTTATCAGATGAAGTATAAAATTAAACTTTTCTTTTTCGTCAACTCGTCAACATTCTTTCTATTCGAAAAAGAGGCTTTGTGAAATTTTCCGCTCACATGTTTTAAAAGTCATTTTTTCTTCCAGATATATCCTACTATCTCACTGATTGTGTGAATTCACAGATAATACAAAGTCTAGTAATCGTCTCCTCGGTAAATTCAGTCAAACTAGCAAATATCGTCCGGATCTCCCTGGATATTTGTGTCTCACTCGAACAGTTGGAGGGACTGCTATTAGACTATTCTGTCCTAATGAGCACCATGTATCCATGTCCTTGAATTTGCCAGCCTAAATTTTTGAGAGTGCCTCAATCTAATTGGCTGAATCCCAGCCCCTCAAAATCTGATTGGTTGAAATCCCAACCCCTCAAAACCTGACTGGCTGAATTTCTAGCCCCTCAAAACCTGAATGGCTGGCTTTTCTAGTCCCTCGAAATCTCATTGGCTGAATTCCCAATCCCTCAAAACCTAATTGGCTAAAATTCCAGCCACTCCAAACCTGATTGTTCGAGAGATTGACAGAGCAAACATCTGATCTCCCATCGATGTTTTTTTGACCCTGACACAAACACACACACACACATACAAACTATTTTTTTTCATATGACCCTCCCTACAGTCGAGGGAATTATTCAATAAATACCTCAATAAAATATGAACTTATTTGTACCTGTTGATTTAACTTGCATTGCTTCTTTTTTAACATCTTCAATAGGAATCGGATAGTAACAACATCATCTATTTGATGAAATGAATATCTAAGGGAAACAAATATAATTATTAAAATGACTGAAGTTATGCTTTAGTTTTAAAAAGAAAAATCATGCCGATGAATTTAATTCATTACTATCATCACCCTCGGCCTCTGAAAAAAAAAGAAATGTTAGACATGTTAAATTAAACATAATAATAACTCACATTTTTCTCTTTTTTCAATCTATATAATTGTTCATCAGTAACATTGAGAAAATAAATATCTGACAATTCAACTATTTTTTCGAATTCTTCAAAATAACCATTATGATCCACTGGAATTCACCAGCATCAAAATGAGGTACTAGTTTACTTTAAACACAGGAGAGATATGATCTGCAGACACAGCACTGCGTGAGTGTGGAGACACTGTGTCTAAAATAAACTAGTACCGTTCGAACGACAAATTGATATATTTAGTTGAGATTTTTTGCCTTCCGAAACAGGATATTGATTGTATAAAAGCATCGATTTGGAGGACAAATCAAGTCATTGGTTTTAGAAAAGTAATGCAGTTTATATAACACAGGAAAACTTTAATCAAATATGTAATTTTGTATAAAAGAGAAATGCAGTCATAATGAAAATTTTCTTTTTTCTTATTTTTCTATTATTTAATTAACAGTAATAGAATTTTCCACCATTGACTGTTAGTAACAAGCTGGTGAAAGCGGTTATCATCAGTATAATATCCAGATACATCAATAACTGTCTAGTCCATAAAAATGAATCCATATTCCATAATCTAAATTCATAATCTAATTCATAAACTAATTCTTAAACCAAAACATTTAAAACCAAAAGAAGAACTCAAGTAAATTCAGCTGCTATATGAAACATCAAATATAATATAAGTGTAGCTTGAGAGAACCGAGTTTTATTTCAATATATAAAAGGAGAAATGCAGTCATAATGAAAATTTTCTTTTTTCTTATTTTTTCTATTATTTAATTGCAACAGTAATGTTTCATATAACAGTTCAATTTAGTTGAGTTCTTCTTTTGGTTTTAAGTTTTTGTTTTATGAATTAGTTTATGAATTAGATTATGGAATATGGATTTACTTTTATCGACTAGATAGTTATTGATGTATTTGGATTTTATACTGATGATGCCCGCTTTCACCAGCTTGTTACTAACAGTCAATGGTGGAAAATTCTATTATTGTTAATTAAATAATAGAAAAATAAAGAGAAAAGAAATTTTCATTATGACTGCATTTCTCTTTTATATATTGAAATAAAACTCGGTTCTCTCAAGTTACACTTATATTATATTTGATGTAATTTTGTAGCCAAAAACTTCTGAACTAGATCACATTTAATTTGTAGTCATACTCTTCTTTATGTGAAAAAAGTTACAGCAGATTTTTTCAATGATTTGAGAAAATGGTTTGCCCGTCTATGACTATAGACTAATCAACTTGCTTTTCTTCGGTCACTTTTGATTACATATAGAATAAATAAGCAACATTCTGCTATTTGAACTGTTTAAACTCATCTCAATCAGTGGTTAGAACATAGTTTGTCGCCAAGTGTCGGATTATATACTCGAATCCATTTTTCACCTTCTTTTTTTTCGCTTTTGTGCTCCGTTGACTAGTCTGGACGACGGAATGAATAGATAAATCGAAGTAGACATGATGAATGTAAGCATGTTCTGGACTAGTTCAAACATAGTTGAAGAACATTTCTCGTAAAGATGATCAATCATTACGGATAAGCATGACATTTCATACTTCATCTGACGGGTATTGCGCATACCTGACTGGTCATGTTGAACGTCCTCACTTGTTTTTCGTTTACTTTAAACATTATATATATTCGAGTAGCTGTCTAATTCGAGTTCGAATATAAATGATAAAAAACGGCTTCCATCTTCCAACAGGCAAAAAGCAAAAGCAAAACTTTATCCAACGATACACACCCGTTAAAGCAATAAAAAAAAATAATTTTATACAAATTATAAATTTATAAACGAAAAGGCACACTCATGTTGAAATAGCAAAAAAGCAAAAGAAGTAATTTATATAAATTTATAAATGCAAAAGCACACCCATGCTGAAATAGAAAAAAAGCAAAAGAAGTAGTTTATGTAAATTTATAAATCCAAAAGCACACCCATGTTGAAATAGAAAAAAAGCAAAAGTAATTTATATAAATTTATAAATGCAAAGGCGCACCCATGTTGAAATAGCAAAAAAGCAAAAGAAGTAATTTATATAAATTTATAAATGCAAAAGCACACTCATGTTGAAATAGAAAAAAAGCAAAATAAGTAGTTTATATAAATTTATAAATGTAAAGGCGCACCCATGTTGAAATAGCAAAAAAGCAAAATAAGTAGTTTATATAAATTTATAAATACAAAGGCACACCCATGTTGAAATAGCAAAAAAGCAAAAGAAATAAATTGTGTACGTCCTCTGATAGTACTAATGTGGAAGTCTCTAATCTGTGTTGGCACAGAAACGACCTCTTTGGCGCTCTTCGGGCCACCACGCGCCGAGGCTTAAATAAAGGTGCGTGTACGCTCTCTGATAGTACCAATGGGGAAGTTTCTAATCTGTGTTGGCACAGAGGGTGTGGTGTGTGGGTGTGGGTGAAGAGACGATCAATACCCACACCCCACACATGTCATGATCTAAAGATTAACTTTTTGAAAAATATCTCTATTGAAAAGAAAACAATTTTCTTAATTATTATTTATTTAAATTAATTTATTTCCGTACAAGAAATATGAAACAATTGAATTACCATAAGTGCTTGACCAGTCGGAGGTGAAATATAACATGGTATTGAACGAATACCATATGCAGAATGATATACAGTTAATGAAATTATTTCACCAGGTGGCCCTTTAATAGTAATTGCTGTTTGACCTTGATCGAAATTAATATCTATTGAATTAATTCGTTGTCGACTAACAGAAGTCCATTTATTTAATTCACCCATAAATGCATATTGTGTATGATGAACATCATTAAATTGCCATAATGGTGATATATACCAAAGACAAAATGATGAACTATTACATTTATTAGATGGTATGTAAAGTGGATGAGTATCATCAAAAATAGATATATCAGTTGAATTTTCATACGACCATATAATTCCTGATTGACCTTTAATCATAGAAGGATATATTAAATAATCTTTTTGCATTGATGATGCAAATATAATAGAAAATGTTTGATTATTTCTATGAAAAGAAATAGATTAGATATATATTTCTAATCAAAATAAACTTACATAGTTGTTTGAGTTGAATAAAGCTCTCCTTGTATATTTCCATTATTTTCAGCCCAATCAGCAATTAATGAATCGATCATTGTTATTGGTCGATCTGGTTTTAAAATAAGACCATCTTTTCTACAACATCGCATAATACGTTCAATATTAGTATAATTAATTGCATCACCTGGACTAACAGGACCTGTTGAAAGTGTTGCTAGAACTATTTCTCTATCTGGAAGTGGTTCCATAGCAGATGGTTTATATGAAGAACCAGGTTCATTTGATGTTGACCAAAAAACATCTTTAAATGGAGCAATACCAAGTGCATCAGCTAACATACTTGTTATTCCAATATTCCATTGATTACCTTTATGAACAATATGTGATGTATAATCACTTGATACTCGTGCTTGTGTTACTCGTGGAATTTCAAGTGCTTGTAATGCATGACGAGGATATGATGAACAATATTGAATAGTAATTCCAGCTTTTTCTGCTCCTTTACCCATTGACATTAACCATTGTTCTCCAAGATTGATATCTGTACGTAATGGAATAAATTTTGATGTTTGAGCATGTAACCAATCTTGTTCATACATAATAAGACCCCAATTCTGTGATGCATCACTTAATAAATCAATCCAAAATGAATCATTTCCTATTGGTAAAGACATTTCATTGATATTATCAAAAGCAAAATTATATTTATCTGAATAAACTGTATCTAATGCCCAATAACGATTATGTGCTGCCAATGATATATTATCCATTTGATGATATAGTGATGGAAGACCATCAGGAAAAATATCAGGTCGAGATTTCCATTGACTTACACCACCTTTTAATCCTTTATAATACCACCATGAATCTAATTGAATATAATGAAATGGAAGTGTTATTTTTTTATGAACAGATAATATTGTTTCTTCATAATTTAAATCTGATTCTGTATTATAATAATAATAAGCACCACCATCTGTATAATAACCAAGATAATTTATAGTTATATCATTAATACGATATTGTTTATCTCGATTATATGCTCGTTGCATTATATTACCATATTGACGTAAAGCATCATTAATACCATTAGATGAATAAAAAAGAATCATTGTATGATTATAATTAGCTGGAATAGTTTTTATTGAACCCATAACACCATATTGTAATATATTATCTTGTTGACTTAATGATGTTGCCATAAATTGAGCAAATGGTGAAAGAATAATAACATCATTTTGTCCATGTTGAGTTAAATTAAAAAGTACTACTGGTCCAGCTTCCATACCTGATTTAATAACTGTATTTGATGATTTCCAAATACCTGCATGCATTTCATCATAACCCATCATAACACCTATTTAAAAATATTTCAAATAATTAATACAAAAAAAAAAAACATTTACCTTCAAATGTAAAATATCCTCGATAATCATTTGTATCAATTTGTTCAATTTTAAATGATGGAAATACAGTACGAACTTGATCCATATTAAGATTAATATTATTTGTTAAATCTTTTGTACCAATATTCAAACGAAATGTTATTGATGAAATAGAATTCCATTGACGAATATGTGCAGAGACATTCGTAACTGTTTCACCATGATTTAATTTATAAATTAATTGAGTTTCATTCCAATTACCAAAATCCGGATCATCACCTTGGAATACAAGAGTATCAATAAGAAGAAGAGAACTATCATTTGATGAATACCATCGATCATCAACATATAAAGCAGTACTTGAGGAATGAAGCCAAATATTATTATTAACACTAATACTATATTCTCCTTTTATTCGATCTATTGAAACTTGTACATCACACCAACATTGCACTATCATCAGCAAGAAAAATATTGCACGATGCATTGTCAAACAAAAAGAAAAGAGTAACCTAAGTTGCAAGTAAAAGATAACATGATGTATATATATATAAAGAGAAATATCATAGAAGATAAGAGATTGAAAGCATCATACGACGCGTTTCGAATGAGGCTTAATCCATTCATCATCAGGCATCTTGAGAGTGGGGTGAGTAAGCGTACCATGATCGCGATTTAGACCTTGCTTAAGGGTCTCATCAGACGGTTTATGTATAAAACGAATGATTCAAAGCGGAATCAATTCAATGATATACAAGATCTAAAACTGTTGCGAGTAGTACAATGGAATACAGGGTGTGGGGTGTAGGTGTGGCTGCGGATATGTATCTTCTACGCATCGATACCCACACCCACACCCACCCAAATAAAACATGAATAATGTGGGGAAGTTTCATTCAATTCTTGAGTAATGAATTCAATTGGGTGTAGGTGTGGGTGTGGGTACCCGTGTGTTGGTGGGCAAACGCGTGCGTGCAATCGTGTCTGCGAAGAGAAGATCCACACCCACAGCCTTACAAGATAAAGTAGGTTTGTTTGATTTTCAACTTTGATAGTAAGAACTTCACATCGGATATCTAAAAGTGAACATACAAAATTTCAGTCTCATCTTTAATACCATCTCTTCTTATTAGAACGATTAGTCCAGATGAAATAAAAGTCATAGATAGATTATTTTTATGAACACTATTTCAAGTATATTCTTTATTTCACAAACGATTTCATTTCAAAAAAAAAAAAAAAAACAATTAGATTAAATCATTTCCATTGTACATAAAATCTATCATATTGACGATATATTGTATAGTTCTTGAGTAAGTTTTTTGAATTGATCATTTGATGCAATTTTTCTACTTTATTATATTTTGCATCATCACAAAAAACACATATAGTCATAGGATGAGAAATATAGTTATCTTTAATATTCCATAAGATATATTGTATGACTGATTTAAGATCATCATCTCGCACACGTTCTAATCCAAAGAATTGTATACGAGGAAAACGTTTAAAAATAAAATCTATTTGATCTGATTCAGTTACGTTTCGAAGAGTTATTTTTGTAATTTTGTTGATTTTTAAAAATACATTGAAAATAATTTTATCTCGAATATTTAAATTCATTTGTTGACGTAATAGTGAATTCGATAATCTTATTGAGTTTAAATTTCTTAATGCTTCTAAAATTGTAATCAAAATACTAACAGTCATTTGATCACATTCAATATCCAAATAAGTAATTTGGATCATATTAAATATAAAATTAATTTTCTTAATTAATGGTTCATCATTTTCGGTGAGAAAAGTACCAGTAACACTTAGTTCAACTGATGAAAAATAAGGATTCGAGGAATTATCAATATTATTTTTTGAATCTTGTTTAATATATGAATATTCTTGAATGTCGATCCAAGTTTCTCTAAAAACAAGTGACGACAATGAAAAATTCCTTTCAATAGAGAAATCACATCTACAACTTTTTTTTTCTATCACTTGATACATACTGATATGGATGTATTGAATAAATGAGTTCATCCTCTTCAATTAAAAATTTAAAAATCCATTTTCGATCAATCCAAAATGATGATTTAAAACGATTGATTAATAAATAATAAGAACTTATTTCAAACTCATCATCAATAGTATCACTATAACGAAAGATAAATTTGGTTAATGATGTGATATTTTGTGAAATTAATTGTTCCCATCGATCAGCATCTAAATAACTTTTATCCGTACTGTAAATCTTAACATTTAATAATTGTAATTGAGAACAAAGTTTCAATAGAAATTCTTCAAATTCATCAAGCTCTAAATCATATAAAGTCATAGTTAAATGTGTTAAACTATTTAATTTGATCATTAATTTTGATTTGATTTGATCATCTGATTCGATTATATTAAAACAATGTAAATGAGAAAGTCGAGGTGTATGTAAAAGTATATTAGTAAGTTGATTAAAAGTACATCGATGATAAATAAGTAGATATTCAATAGGAGAATATTGGTCTTGAGCAGCAATTGGTATGGTGATAGATAGTCGTGGATGTCGTGGTACTGCCACTCGAAAATATTTCAAAGGTAGATGAAAAATCATTTGATAGATATCACCAATATTACAAGAACAATTCTTAAGACAAATACTTAATGAAGAAAGATTAGATAAAGATTTCAAATAAAAAAGAAGAATGAATAATTTATATGTTGAGATTGAATTAAGAATAAGTGATTCAAGACGAGGAAATAATTTATCAATAGTAAACAAATTCATGAATTGATCGAATTTTGATTGAGAATCAAAATCAAATGAAATAATATGATGTTTGTTTGATCTAAGAAATTGTTTATAACGAGAATCAAGTTTTGTTTCAGAAGATATTTCGATTTTCATAGGCAATAATGGATTAATTAGAAGATTTTCAAAACGAATATTGAGATTCGAAAATGCTTTATAAATATTGTAACCATCGAGATAATCAAATATTTCATAGAAAATTTCATTCGAGAGATTTTCAATACAACTAATCGTCCTAAGAAAAATAGGTTTGATTGAATTAAAAGACTTGTTTTCTGTCTTACTTTTTCTTCTTATGAACTTCTAAAAATAAAAAAAAAGAACAATCGACTAGATAATCTATTTTAACTTACGTGACTGACGAAAATTTCCTTGTCGTTTAATTCGATTCATGTTTATTACAAGAAAATATAACAGCACTAACACTACATATATATATGGTTGGAAAGAACATTTCTCGTTGTCTCTGTCATTGATTGTATGTGATTGTTGCAGACGGAAAAAATATTTTCTTTCCTCTCTTTCATATCAGTCTGTCATGTTTCAAATGATTATTTACTTTCTTTCATCTTTATTTCTAATATAACATACCAAGTAATTTATGTCAATTTATTTATTGTTAAAATGCTTCTGAATATTAAAAATACCTTTTTTTTATATGAATCTCAAACATAAAATAAATGCGTTTAGCTGGAGCTAGAAACGAAAATTAATCGACGTTACTGCTAATGATAAACTAATTAGATATTCTGTTGATGACATTAGACTTAGATGATAAACGTGGAACAGACAGTTAAGGATTTATGGCATAATCGATAATTCCATCAGAATCTTTGGAGAATTCACGTAAGATGTTGATGATTGACCCATTAATTAACTATACTGTTTCTCTAGCATTTTGATTGCTGATACAACGACAGGCAATCTATCTGCAGTAGCGATCGTTGCTTTTGATAATGATACTTGACTGGATATTGTAGTAACTCTTGCTGCGAGTAACAATACGAGCATTCTATTGAACGCATGTTGATATTATACTGCATAATTTGAACCTCTTATAATAATTTCTTACTGATTTATTCAATATTGTATAATATTGCTTCTGTGTGAATTCCTAGAATATGATTGAAGAACAAAATCTTTTACGAATAATACAATAATATTGATTAGAGATCTGCAATAGTCAAAAAGGTTTTCACATTCAATTTCGGTTTAGCAAATTAATTAATAGATTCAACTTACAAATGTTGTATTTTCTTGATTTTGTAAAAACGAACGTAAGATTCTAAACATAGAAATCGACTGATCTTGTCGTAGATCATTCAATCCAAGGCAGAAGAAAAACAACAAGATTTACAAGCTTCTGCGGCAAATCATTGAAGAGAATCGAACTAAGACTCTTCCTGTTCACAAATGGATTTCTGAATCAGTTCAATTTGCAGCTCTTATCGTACAACTTCTTCGTATTTGCTTTACACGTCTAGAATTAGATTAATAACTACCGAATTGTTCGAAGTATAGTCTTCATGACTTCATAAAATATACCATTTAATAAGTTTTATTTAATTCTTTGTTTGTGATGGTACAGTAGCTACTGCAATTGATTCTGAAAATATTTACATTGAACGATTGATGACAATGATGGTACAGAACAAATTTGTTAAGAAATGTGAGAAAGATATTCCCGAAACTGAAACTTAAGATAGAGACATTTTAAAACTGTAATACTTAGTTTTTTAGTTAATGACTACATTGACGATGACGCAGCTAATCTATTTACATCTCTAGCTAAACATAATCGATAGACTTCATATTTCAATCAGCTTATGCTGTTAGGGTGTGGGTGTGACTGTGGAGATGGAGTTTAGGTGTAGGTAGAGAGAAGGCTCTAACAACAACATTCACATCCACACCCTTTTCTACATTTAAATTTATTTAAATTTTTAAAATTTATTTAGATCCAGCTTGAATCAATATAAATTCAATTTGAATCCCATATGAATTATGTAAATGGATTGACATCACATATAAATGGGATTAAATGTAACTAAATGAATTTAAATTGATTTAAACTGAATTTCAATAAATTTTAAAAATTTAAAAATATTTCAATAGTTTTAAAAGATTTAAATTTAACTTTTTACAATTTACATTTAAAATTGATGTTTATATTTATTAAATTTTTGTAAATACAAATTGATCAGCCCAAATAATCTCATTATGCTTCTAAAAAAACAATCACCATAAGGTATTGCTTCATCATATAGAATATTTTCGGCTTCTTTGTCAAGACATGAAAAAGCATAGCGAAGTTCTTTTTCCATTTCGTAACTATGATTATGTAAATCAAAGAAAAAAACAAAAGAAACAAACAAAAGAAAAAAAGAATATGTCTTTTTTTTCGATAGACTGCTGCATTGATATTTCAAGCTGGATGGATTTGAACGTCACAAGTATGTCGTTTTTTCACTTCAATCAACAAAAATCTTCACATAGTTATAGTCTTTTGATTGAAAAAAAAAGCACAACAAAGAAAAAAGTAGAGCTTCTCATATACTATTCATAGATTTATGCAGAAATATAATGAAAAAATCTGCGTATAGTTGAAAGAAGCCCAAATGAATCAGGCTCAGAAGATTGAATTTTTATTAATACGTTTCTATTACCAGCTCGATTGAAAATGAATTGCATATATGCTTCATAAGTCTTTTTTTTTCTATCGATCACAGGAGAGATTGTACCCGAGTAATGAGCGAAATAAGAATAGAGTTGGTTCCTCGACCGCTGCATCGTCAAACTAAAAAACGAAAATCGGTAAATTAACAACACATCTTTTTCCTTGTCACGGATTTGTTTGTTTAGTTACCTGTTAGTGTTGTGCATGTCCTACGTAAACAATCACACAGAGTATCCTGTGTTAGCCATGGTAACGTGGAAAACAAAGTAAGAAATTGTATCATGTTGCCGCTAATTCGATATCGAAAATTGTATTGTCATGATGTACATAAAAAAAGAAACCGATCAGTAACAATGATACAATGTGATCAGCATAGATAAATGAATTTATCCATATGTCTAGTATGATTAGTTTTTAGGATGTGGGTCTAGGTGTTTTTTTCCCTGTTGATGCACACTTATCTATACCCACACCCACGTCTCCACTCTCGCACGCCCACACTTGTACATTCACACCAACACCTCTACACCCACACCAACACTTCCACAGTCGGGAAGGAAACAGCGAACCTCAAGACTTCATGAGACTGCTAAGTCTTCATGGGACTTCAAAACCGAAATCTCAGTTGTTTCCATCTTGTTCACATCCATATCCACACTCACATCCTTGCTTTAGAGTTTTCAATTGATGTAAAAAAAACTCATGACTGTATACCATATGTAAACCATGAAACAGGAATCAATTTATCATAATGAACTCATTTATAAGAGAACTTGGAGCAGCATTTTCCAAGTGTCATACTTAGGGATGTCACATTTATGACTCTTTAACAGTAACTAGTGATTCCTTTAAGTTACTTTACTTCATTTAAGCTACTAAAATTATAGTAAATGTGGCAGTCCTAGTCATACAGGTACGAAAGAAGATGAAACTGTTAAAGTCAGTATATCGTATCCTGATCAAAATAAATGAATCACTCTATTTTCTGATCTTCTATTCAAATTGTTTTCATTGGATCTCGAATTTACACTACAAATGCATCGACTGATTCTCTAGCTGCTTCTAAAATTTCAGGCATGAACAGTGTGAAATACAATAAAGAAAGATAGCCAATACATCTCATGTCCTTTTGTATGAGTAATGCAAAGCATTTGATAATCCTAATCACTTGTATTGCATGTTCATGACGTGAAATCACTGATTTGCCTTAGATGTAAGATGAAATGGTGTTAATGAATATCAAAGTCCACCAAAAAAACCACAAGATGGGCCGTTTATTTCGATCAGTAGGATATAATTCACGAATACATTTAGGACATAGTTAACTGATTTTTGTGTGAACTTTGTTTATAGGATTTCTTACTTTAGAATAAAACAAGTGACTCGACAACTGAAAATATGGCACCGAATTCCCATCCAGCTCGACAAGTTCCATCGGTTGTTTCGAATATTACTAAAAATTCATCATTGCAACAAAATAATAACATCATATCAAATTCGACAGCCACTAGAAACTCTGATGTAAGTTTTAATTTAGAAATTTTTATTTTTCAACATTTAGTTACTTTTATATCGCTATACTATTTTCTTTTGATCATGTAGATTACTTCAACGGTTGAAACAGTATATTCAAATAAAAATTCCGAAGCAGCATCTAGCTTATTTAAATCGAATTCTCCTCGATCTCTAAGCGAAATAGAACCAATAAAAGAAATTGAAAAATCAAATATGAAATCTTCAACTGATAAAAATCGATTCTTTCAAAGCGAAAAACAACAAACGAACACTAAAATTGAAGAGAAAAAATTGGAGAAACGATATCGTCGTCAAAGATTATGTTCTTGTTGTACACCACGTTGTTTTTGGTGTATTGCTTTACTCATATTATTACTAAGTGGCCTTACTGCTCTACTTATAGCTCTACTGGTGAATACAACATCGGCCACAACTACAACAGTTACGACTACTACAGGTACGACAAGTACTACTACTTCTGTCACCACTACGACTGCTACAACGGCAACTACCACTACTACAACTACAACGACAACAGATACCACAACTACAACGACAACGGATACCACAACTACAACATCGGCTACAACAACTACAACCACGACGACAACGACGACAACAACTTCAACAACTACTACCACTACCACCACGTCGACTACAACAACTACAACCACGACGACAAAGACTACTGCAACGACAACAACAACAACTAGCGCAACTACGTCGACAACTACCAGCCAAACTACTACAACGACTACCAGCGAGACTACCACGACGACTACAAGCGAAACTACTACAACGACTACCAGCGAGACTACCACAACGACTACAAGCGAAACTACTACAACGACTACTAGCGAGACTACTACAACAACTACCAGTGAGACTACCACGACAGCTACTACCGCGACAACCACCAGCGAGACGACCACAACGGCCACTACTGCTACTACAACGACAGCCACTACAGCGACGACCACCACAGCCACTACAGCGACTACCACCACAGCTACTACTGCGACTACGACTACATCTACAAGTGAGCTGTGTGACTAATTAGAAATTATCAATTTTTCGTTTCAGTCAAAGTTACAACGATAGTTTGTGATTCATACACTCTTGATTTATTTGAGGAGTGGAGAAAAAAGAACGAATATTTCTGTCTCTGTTGCTTGAAAACAAGTAACATTCAACAAAACCTATTGTCTCTAAAGAAATCGTACCAAATCTTCGAAATAGAATACATACAATTTTCTAAATTCAATAGTTCTGTCTTACTAACGATAAGTCAAGATTGCTTTTTGTATGAATCAAAATGATAATTTTTCGTTGTATTTAATTCTATAAATTAATTCTACCTGAGTATTTCTCTCACTCTTTGATAACCTCCATTTTGATATTTTCTTTATCTATTGTGAATCTTTATTTAACAGCAACGACTACAGCGAATCCGTGCGTACTTCAATTTGTGGGTACCTCTAATATACTGTATACAGTAACATCGGCCAGTACAACATCATACTATTGTATGGCTTTTGCGTGGACATCGAGTGTCACCGGCTCGGTCCAGCTTGCTTTCGAACTTCGTCAAGATCCGCATTACTGGTATCTCGATGATGTGTCTGTTGATAATGGAACTGCTGAAATGCTGACTAATGGAGGCTTCGAATCAGGAGCTCTCTCACCATGGGTAAGAACGACACCAAATGGGGTATGTCCAGGCGTAATGGGTCATGTCTGTAGCTCGAGCGCTCATTCTGGTACCTATGCTCTCTGTGATGGAAGTAATGGATGTGCAGATTTAATTAGCCAATCATTCATGGTCACAGCCGGACAGACCTATAACATCACCTTCTGGATGAAATCTGGCTCATTCGGATCAGTAATAAAGGCTAATGTAACACTCATGTAAACTATTCAAATGAAAGATGTCAAAATTTATCTCATACAAAGTGATGTATCTATTCTCGAACAAACATACAGACCTACTTTTTTTTCTATATTTTTCCTTGATTTTTCTTTTCTTATAATCAAAACTAGCACAACGAAATAAAAATAATAATAAACTGAAAGTGTCATTCAAATAATTGTATAGCTTGATAACTAAGTGAAATTTGTTATCAGATGACGATTGATTATGTTTGAACAAGCATACTATAATAGTGTTGGAAATAAGCAATTTTGTTGATTCGATATTCATGAAGAGCCTCTTAAGCCCCTGCCCCTCCCCCTGCCCCTCAAAATAGGATCTCCGAGCCGGAACGCGCTATTGAGTTGAAACTTTGTGCATATGTTTGGGGTGGATAGTCATGCATTCAGTATCTTCAAGACTATTTAACTACCTTAAGAGATAGAGCCGATTTTCTTTCTTTATTATAAGGAAGACATTTGGAGCCAGCGACTCTCGTTGTTCTTTTTTTGATTTTCTTCTTTCTCTTACTTCTTTATTCATGTGCGAGATGATGATCCTCAGAGAATAGCAAAATTTTGAGGAAAATGATAGCATTTTTTGTTTATTTAAGCCTTTTTTTAAAAAAAGGGCCACAAAAGTCACTAACCCTGAACACGAGCTTTCAAACAAAAAACAATATTTGATTTTATCTCTTGTTGTAATAGAATGGCGCTGAAGATACGTCGTCGAATCCACATTCCAAGAAAAAAGATTTTCGGTTTTTTGTAAAATTGTTCAAAATTTTTGGAAAAAAAAGAGGCCGAATAAAAATTTTTGTCATTTATGAAAGAGTAGATGACGGACTATTTTCCCATGGATTTATCTCAATTTCGATGATTCTGATGAAAAGTGACTTTTTTTAGAAGGGTCTTAATTGTTCAATTGCTTCTCTGATTGTTACAGAGAAAATATTCGTTTGATCTCATTTTCATATTGAACGATGAAACAAAATCATTTGAAGGAATATTTTATTTCTCTGTCTATATACATCTTTCAATCATTTCTTCCAATCAAATACACAAACGAAGAACTCGAAATGTATGAAAAGGAAAAGCAGATTTAACTAACAAGACGACATAACAAGAAAATATGGGAACAGTCCTATGCTTTACTCATTGGGTATGGGTGTGGTGTGTGTGGATGTTGGTGTCTTTTTCCACACCCACACTCACACCCTCCCACACCCACACTCACACCCTCCCACACCCATACCCACATTCACACCCTCCCAAACCCACACCCACCCCGCCGCACCCACACTCACATCCCACACCCACACCCACACCCTGAACATAAAAGAAGTTTAATTCTCTCATTTTTTCATATCAAACGAGAGCAGCTAAGACAATGACATTAGAGATATTCATTATGATCTCTGGTGAATAGAATGGTTTTAAACTTCTTCTCAGGGGGGGAGGGCACTCAAACATGTTTTCTCGTGAGTTAAGTTGATTGAATTGAGTTTGTTTTTTTAGTTCATATGGATGAAGCAAATGCAGGTGAAAATGAAGCAACTGAAGGTGAAAATGATGCAAATGAAGGTGAAAATGATGCAAATGAAGGTGAAAATGATGTACATGAAGGTGAAAATGATGCAAATGAAGACTCTGACAAAGAGAATTAAATACGTATGTACGTGGGCATTCGAGATAATAAACCAAGAAAAGCAGTATGGAGATTTTTCGTTTTTTTTTCTCTTTTGTCTATTTTGTGCTCTTTCTTATTATTTACACGTTTATTTTTTTTTTCATTTCGATCGTTCTCCACTATCCACTATCTATTTTCGTTTTTCCTTTTTTGTTCGATCTATCTTTATTCCTTCTACAACTGTAGTTTGTCTTCATTCTTATGTATTTATGTCAAAAAAAAAAGAAACCAGCTCGGTGTGTGTGCTTTTACTTTATTCAAGAAAGAGAACACTTATATGTAAGAAAAAGACGAAGAGAATAAGCTGATATTATGTTTTTTTTTATTTTGATTGTTTATTTAGAATAAAAGAATTTTTTCACTTGTCTTTTCTCTCAT